AGGAACCGCTAGCCGCTAGCAAGTATGGTTCCCAAAAACGGTTCCCAAGCAAGGTCCCAGGAACCATTTCCAAGCAAGGTTCCAAGCAGGAACAAGGCTCGCAGGAACAGGTTCTTAAGCAACTTTTCCCATAAAGAGCTGGTTCCAAAGCAACATTTCCGGGAGCAACTGGGAACCCTTGCTTGCGAACCTCTTCCTGGGAACCTTGCTTGAGAACCTCTTCCTAGCAACCTTGCTTGAGAAGCTATTCCTGGGAATCTTGCTTGGGAACCTTTTCCTGGAAACATTGCCTGGGAACTTTTTCCGCGAACCTTACTTGTGAACCTGTTCTTGGGAAATTTGTTTGGGAACCTATTCCTGGGAACCTGTTGCTGGGAACCTTGCTTGGGAACCTCTTCCTGGGAACATTGCTTGGGAACGCGCTTGGGAACCTTACTTGTGAACCTGCTCTTGGGAACCTTGTATGGGCACCTGTTCCTGGGAACCTGTGGCTGGGAACCTTGCTTGGGAACCTCTTCCTGGAAACATTGCTCGGGAACCAGCTTGCTGGGAACCTTGCTTGGGCACCTCTTCCTGGAAACCTCTTCCTGGAAACACTTGTTTGAAAACCTTTTCTGGGAACCTTGTTTTGCTTGGAAAAACAGGTTCCTGGAAATCTTGCTTGGGAAGCTTGGTGAGAACCTTGCTTGGACGCCTCTTCCTGGAAACCTCTCCCTGGAAACACTTGCTTGAAAACCTGTTCTGGGAACCTTGTTTTGCTTGGGAAAAACATGTTCCTGGAAATCTTGCCTGGGAAACGGTTCCTGGAAACCTTGAAAACGGTTCCTGAAATCCGTGCTTTCAAAACCTGTTTTTGGGAACCTTGCTTGGGAAACTGTTCCTGGAAACCTCTTCCTGGGAACCCTTGCTTGGGAACCTCTTCCTGAGAACCTTGCTTGGGAACCTCTTCCTGGAACCCTTGCTTGTGAACCTCTTGCTGGGAACCCTTGCCTGGGAACCCTTGCTTGGGAACCTGTTCCTGGGAACCTTGCCTGGAACCTCTTGGGGACCTTGCCTGGGAACCTCTTCCTGAAAAGCTTCCTCTTGGTAACCTCTTCCTGCGAACCCTGCTTGGGAACCTCTTGCTGGGAACCTTTGCTTGGGAATCTGTTCCTGGTAACCTTGCCTGGGAACCTTACTTGAGGACCTTGCTGCGAACCTCTTCCTGGGAACCTTGCTTGGGAACCTGTTTCTGGGATCCTCTTGCTGGGAATGCGAACCTCTTGGGAACATTACTTGGGAACCTGTTCCTGGGAACCTTGCTTGGAAACCTTGCTTGGGAACCTCAGACCCCAAGCTTACGCTGTTGGGGAAAAATGGAGTAGTTAAATTCAAACAATTTGCATAAATATGGATCCACCTAAAGAAATCAAAATCCAGAGACCCACTTTCAATCGCATTTTTTTTAAATAAAAAATCCTGCAAAAAATGTTAAAAATCCATTTCTATCTGCGAACAAAAATGAGGTTTCGCGTAAAAATAAATAAATAAATATATATATATATATATATATATACATACGTAACTCGTAAGAAAAAAGTATGTTTTTAATTGTTTTGAGTTCTTTGGATGAAAATGTCGAGATTACATGTGTATACCAGTAGTACCGCACAAGGCGGTGGCGGAAGTTTCAAAAATAGGAAACCTATAGGAGAAATTGGTTGTTGTGAATGAGGGATGGCAGAGCGAAGCCACTGATGGACTGAAAGGTGCTTGATCTCTCTCACTCTTTCTCTCTCTTTCTCTGACTATCTACCTACCTACCTACTTACCTACCTACCTACCTACCTACCTATCTATCTTCTATCTATCTATCTATCGATCTATCTATCTCTCTCTCTTTTTCATCTAATTACCTATCTAGTTACCTATCTATCTATCTATCTATCTTTCTTTCTATCTATCTATCTATCTATCTATCTCTCTATCTATCTCTCTATCTATCTATCTATCTATCTATCTATCGATCTATCGATCTATCGATCTATCGATCTATCGATCTATCTATCTATCTATCAATCATCCATCTATCTATCTATCTACAGTATCTCTCTCTCTCTATCTATCTATCTATCTATCTATCTCTCTATCTCTCTCTCTCTATCTATCTATCTATCTATCTCTCTCTCTCTCTCTCTCCATCTATCCATCTATATATCTATCTATCTATCTATCCATCCATCCATCTATCTATCTATCTATCTATCATCCATCTATCTATCTATCTATCTACAGTATCTATCTCTCTATCTATCTCTCTCTCTCTATCTATCTATCTATCGATCCATCCATCCATTCATCCATCCATCCATCCATCCATCCGACTCCATCCATCTACCGTGTACTGATACGATCCTCATATTCCGAAATTGAAACTTCAACAGCTCCTACAGCGGTAACACAACAGACCAGAAACACATGACGAAATCTAGCACATCCCTCTGACGCGTCTCCCTCACGGAGTCGCCGCAGTGTGTTTTTTTCCCAGCAGCAACGGGCAAAATCTTCGGCCGGGCTTGCAATGAAGTACAAATGCTCCAGTGCATCATTGTGCAGTCAGAAAAGACATACACGCTGGCATGTGTCGTGGCCGCTGCGGTCAGAAGCGCTGCGTGCCGTCAGCAGTGCCGCGGTGCGCATCGCTGCATGTGTCCCGCTCTCCCCGACGGTAAGGACGCGGGCAGAAAAGCCACACGAGAGGTCACTGCCATCTCTGCCACGCAGGCACATCCGGCATCTGCGAGGCATCAGCTGGGTTGGCGCGCCACCGTGCGATCAGAAAAGACATTGCAGCGCGATCGGCTGCAATGACTGACGGCTGTTGTAGTTGTAGTTGTAGTTGTTGTAGTTGTTGTAGTTGTTGTAGTTGTTGTTGTTGTTGTTGCTGTTGTTGTTGTTGGTGTTGGTGTTGTTGTTGCAGTTCTAGTTGTAGTTGTAGTTGTTGTGTAGTTGTAGCTGTAGCGGTAGTTGTAGTTGTAGTTGTAGTTGTTGTAGTTGTAGTTGCTGTGGTTGGTGGTGTTGTTGTTGTTGCTGTTGCTGTTGTCGTCGAAGTTAGGGTAGTTAAGTTAGTGAAGTTAGTCAAGTTAGTTAAGTTAAGCAGTGTCTACTTTTTCGACATCTTAACGTCAAAAAAGGCTCAAAACCCTCAGTTTTTTTACACTTTTGACTTCGAAATGTGCTTCGCGCCACAACGGCGTGCACTTTTTAGACACTTTTTCGACATCTGAACCTCCAAAAGTGGTCCGAGAATGGTGTGTTTTGTACATTTTGACTTGGAAATGTGCTTCGCGCCACAACGGCGTGCACTTTTTCGACATCGCAACTTCCAAAAGTGGTCCGAACCCCTAGTGTTTTGTACATTTTGACTTGGAAATGTGCTTCGCGCCACAACGGCGTGCACTTTTTCGACATCTCAACTTCCAAAAGTGGTCCGGAGCTGGTGTGTTTTGTACATTTTGACTTGGAAATGTGCTTCGCGCCACAACGGCGTGCACTTTTTCGACATCTCAACTTCCAAAAGTGGTCCGAACCCCTGGTGTTTTGTACATTTTGACTTGGAAATGTGCTTCGCGCCACAACGGCGTGCAATTTTGCATCGCTCCTGTGGCCAGCTGGCTCCGCCCCCGCCGCTTTAGCGAGCCTACTTTTCGACCCTCCGGCGCCACAAATCATTGGAAAAACACAGTGTGTCGCGACTTTCCTACCTTTTCGCGCATCTGTAGCGTCTGTCCTCTTACTCTTTCTCTTCTGATCTTCTCTCTTCTAATCTTCCTCTTCTCTGTGCCTCTGCCCTGCTCTGCTTTTCATCTCTCCATATTGTCGGAAGTTTGACTTCTAAACTTCCTTCGATAAATATATACATATATATATATATACGGACTTGTGATATGTTTAATGTTTAACCATTTTTCACCGTCATTTCTATCTGTCGTTTTTGAGGTGTATATACTGTATATATATAATTATATATATATACCAAAAATCAAAAGGAAAACATATATATAATATATATATATATAATATATATATATACGTAATCTTGACATGTTCTATTTGCATGTCTAAATTCGATTAAATTCGTTTCTATCTGCAAGACTGGTAAGTCCATTTTTGAATCCCCCTGCACATTTACCCCCCTGACCCAAGGCAACCATTTTGTAAGGGACCCAGGAGTTAACCTTACAAACATCCATGGTTAGGGGTTTACAAAATGGGCTGGGCACCAGGCTTGGTGTGATTCCCCAGCAAACACCGGTGAACCCCCAAAAAAATCAAAAATCGGCTCCTTACAAAATGGTTGCCCCAAGTTAATTTCCAGGCCCCAAACCCAATCATCTTATAAGCTTGTGTCTTAAAAAATGGTTTGTTTGGAGACATGTCTTACTTGTACAAGTCCAACTTTCCCCAGGGAACCCCGCAATTTTTTTCCCAGTCCCCAAAGTTTGGAAAAAAATCCCAGAAAGTTTGATATCACCTTTTCTGGTTGGTTGACTTAGTGGTGTCTTGCCGATTCTTCACACATCAATGGTGGAACCCAAAAAAAATTAGAGAAGAAACCCTGGTTCCTGGACATGGCCAAGATTTCAATACCCTTTTTTGCACTGCCTGAAATGAACCCAAAATTGCGTTATGAAATGATTGGCCCCGAGTTCATTTTGTAAAGAAAGTTGGCTCTTACAAAATGATTCGCCCAGCAAAAAACACGCTTTTTTACAAAATGGCATGGTTGACCAGAAAAATGTCCTTATAAAATGCCTCCTTTTGTTAGAAAAATGTCCCTGGAGTGGAACATGGGTCAAGCCATTTCATAATGGAAATGTACACAAGGATATTTTTGAACCGTTCTGACTGTGGTTTTTTTACACTCGTAATGTTTTTGGATTTTCTATCTGCAAGATCGTGACTATAATGAGAGCATGCTGAGATTTCCAAAAACATCCAAAGCAACAGCGAGTGCGCACCTCTGAGATTGCCGCGTTGAAAAGAACGATGCGCGGAGCTTGGTCCTTTGTACTTCGCTGCGCATGAGCTGCGGCCTTCGGCGCCCCACGCTTACACTGTCCTAGGTACAGCCAGGGAAATTATGCGACAGCTGTGCCAGCATGTGCCAGCTAAGTCAGGTCAAGCGATTTCGAGCCACCCAGTTTCATCAATACTCACCAGCACTTAGTGCAAACCAAAGTTCGCTTGGGCATATGTCACTGCTGGCCACAGACTGCTGATTGGCAGCACGTTCGGATGGTTGCTCGATAAGAAGAATCAAGATGTGGCGCTCACCTGCCAAACAATGACAACTAAGCCGTCTGTACTGTGGTTTTTGCACGGAACATCCTTATTGGCATGTGATTGGTGTGCAGTCTGGATGATCTGGCTGACTTTTCCAACCTTCTGTCCCTGGCCTTTCTGGCAACAAAGTATCTCTTCAATCGTTGAAAAAATATTTTCAATGCTTGGTGAGATTGAGGGGACTTAATTTGTAATTTCCCCGCGTCAAACTCAACAGTGACGTAGCACACAAAAAAGGCATTTTGAAGTGACATGTGGGTTGACTGAATAATGAATAATGAAAGGGCAGGATAACCCCACATGTCAACTTCTTCCAATAAGCAGCAAAAGAAAGGTAAAGATGGGATGGGCAATGCAGGAAAGAGAAAAGAGATGGTGAAGGATCGGCGTGTGCAACAAATGAGGCCCAAGCACGCCACCGGAGCCAGCCCAGTGCCATAAGTGCCACCCCGGCCCCTTGCCACGCAAAGTGAAGGTCGATGTCGCGAAGTGCCTTGCCTGCCACGCAAACGGCGGCGGCGACCACGGCGCCCAATGGGGCCCAAGTGCGCCACCAAAGCCAGCCCGTACGATAAGTGCCACGCCTGCCACGCAGAATGCACGTCCATGTCGCCAAGTGCCACAACTGCCACGCGAAAGTCTATATTACGAAGTGCCACGCCTGCCATGCAAACGGCGGCGGCGACCACGGCGCCCAACGGGGCCCAAGCGCGCCACCAGATCCACCCCAATCCGATAAGGGCCATAAGTGCCACGCCTGCCACGTGACGGTCGATGTCGCAAAGTGCCACGCCTGCCACGCAAACGGCGGCGGTGGCCACGGCGCCCAACGGGGCCCAAGCACGCCACCAGAGCAAGCCCAGTCCGATAAGTATCGATAAGTGCCACGCCCGCCACGCAGAATGCACGTCCATGTCGCCAAGTGCCACACCTGCCAAGTTGTATGTCCATGTCGCCCTGTGCCACGCCTGCTACGCAAACGGCGGCGACGACCACGGCGCCCAACGAGGCCCAAGCGCGCAACCAGAGCCAGCCCAGTCCGATAAGTGCCACGCCTGCCACGCAGAATGCACGTCCATGTCGTCAAGTGCCACGCCTGCCACGCAAAGTGAGGTGTGTGAGTAAGTTATGTGCGGACAAGTTGTAGGTGCCATAAGTGCCATACCTGCCACGCAAAGTCTAAGGTCGATGTCGCGAAGTGCCACGCCTGCCACGCAAACGGCGGCGGCGACCACGGCGCCCAATGGCGCCCAAGTGCGCCACCAGAGCCAGCCCAGTCCGATAAGTGCCACGCCCGCCACGCAGAATGCACGTCCATGTCGCCAAGTGCCACGCCTGCCACGCAAAGTGAGGTGTGTGAGTAAGTTATGTGCGGACAAGTTGTAGGTGCCATAAGTGCCATACCTGCCACGCAAAGTCTGAGGTCGATGTCGCGAAGTGCCACGCCTGCCACGCAAACGGCGGCGGCGACCGCGGCACCCAACGGGGCCCAAGTGCGCCACCACAGCCAGCCCAGTCCGATAAGTATCGATAAGTGCCACGCCTGCCACGCAGAATGCACGTCCATGTCGCCAAGTGACAAGTGCCACGCCTGCCACGCAAAGTGATGTGTGTGAGAGTAAGTTGTGTGTGGACAAGTTGTGTGTGAGTGAGTTGTGTGGTGACAAGTTGTGTGTGAGGAAGTTCTGTGGCGACAAGTTGTGTGAGCAAGTTGTGTGTGAGTAAGTTGTGTCTGAGCAAGTTGTGTGTGAGCAAGTTGTGTGTGAGCAATTTGTGTGTGGACAAGTTGTGGTGACAAGTTTCAATGAAAGTTGTGTCTGAGCAAGTTGTGTGTGAGCAAGTTGTGTGTGAACATGTTGTGTGTTGACAAGTTGTGTGTGAGAAAGTTGTGTGTGGACAAGTTGTGTGGTGACAAGTTGTGTGTGAGTCAGTTGTGTGTGGACAAGTTGTGTGTGGACAAGTTGTGTGGGGACAAGTTGTGTGTGAGTAAGTTGTGTGTGGGCGGCGGGCGGGCAGGCAGGAGCGGGCAGGCGGAAGTGCACAACCAAAACCAAGAACCCCACAAAAAGATGTTGGGATAAACAAGGTAAACAAGTGAATAACAAATACACGGATAGATCACTAAGATAAGAAAATATGAGACTTGATTGGATGTTAATTTCGATTGTCGAAGGAAGTTTTGAAGCCAAACTTCCGACAATATGGACAGATGGAAAAGCAGAAGATGGAAAAGCAGAGGTGGGAAGAGACCGAGAAGAGAAGAGACGAAGAGATTCTGGTGGCCATGATTTTTTTTTTGTGCTTCTTTTCGTGGCCATGGGGACGGGTAACACTCCAGGGTTTCTGGGGGGCAGGGGGGAGGGTCACCCAACTGGAGCGTTGGGGGCACAATGGCGTTGTCTTGACGGCATTGGAGCGGCCATGAGCCGGTCAAAACTGGGCAGCTCGGGTCTGCTTGCAATTGGACGGCAATGAGAGTGATACAATGGTGTCAGGATCGTCTGCTTTTGGATGCTATCAGGGTACGCAAAAGGCTTCATGCGGTGATATCTATTTCGAAGTCGCTTACTAGGCTGGTGGCAAAATGCCATGTTGTGCGGACTGGAAGTCCTGATCTAATACCTCCTCTGCGCAAAGGCCATTCACAATTGGTGCAAGCCACTGGACTTACCCACGCAGGGAGTTCATCACTTTAGGATGCATGGTGAAACATCCCCGGAACCACCCCTTTTTTTGTGGGGCTTCTTTTGGTGGCCCCTTTTTTTGGGGGGGCTTCTTTTGGTGGTCCTTTTACTGGGATCACTCACCGGACGTGAGGGCTTAAGGGGAGTGGAGATCTGCAATGAAACTGAACTCATGCATCAGGACCGCATGAAATCGGCAGCATGCAAGGCCACAATACCAAAAACCGGTGGCAATGCAGAGGGTGCGAAAACTTTTTTTGTTTTTTTTTGAATTCAGGTCCTTGTTGGAGGTGGTACAAACATCTGAAGCAATTCCCCCGAGCAGCTACTTGGTGGATGGTTTTGGTCTAAAGCACTTGCAAGTAACATGTAACCTAGTTGCAAAGTAGTTACAACCCTAGTGTATATAAGCTAAGTAAGCTAAGTGTTTATCTTATTTTACGGTAGTTGTAAGTATTTACCAAAGATAAACTAGATAGTAAGTTGTTTGAAGTTTTTTTGAGTTAACAAAATCAAACTAAAATAACTTATAAGTAACATTAAGTAACTTAGGAAACATTTTTTTCGGTTTTTAAAAAGCTTTTATTTTTCTTGGAATAAAAACATCTAAAAAACAAGGTTTGGGTTGGAAACGGATTAAAACAATATTTTTTATTTTTGATATTTTTGTCGGAAGGCGGCTCTATGAGAAGCCTATCAGGAAAAGTTTTGTGATGCTGAGTCTTTTTGTTGATCTGTTATCCTCTTCTCGTTTGGACAACAGGGTGGATACGAAGTAAAAAGCGTTTGGGCTCTTGGAAAGACCATGAGGCCACAGCCTGAGAGAAAATGCGTATATGACTGCAAAAGCATATCATATTAAAAAATAATAAAACACAAAATACAAAACACATTTTTACACATTATTTTACACATGTGTAAGTGGATTTCTTTGGGTTTACACATGTGTAAGTTGATTTTTTTGGGGTTTACAAATGTGTATGTGGATTTTTTGGTTTACACAGTTTACACATGTGTAAGTGGATATTTTTTGGTTTACACATTCTTACACATCCATTTTTACACAGGCATGAAACCAAACCGAATTAGAATGCCACGTCGCACGCCTTTGGTCATCCGTGGATGTTCTATCCTGCGGCCCTTTGGGCAGCAACTCTCTCATTTTGTATTTTTTCCAAATTAAGATTGTCCAACCCAAAGCACAAAAACATCATCAAATTTTCAAGTGCGGCAGAGAAATTCGAAGAAAACTTACGAAACAAAGGTTTCTTTAACACAAAAAATCAAAATGCAAAACGCAATGATGAAGAAAAAACTGCAAAAATACATTTCTTTTCATGTTCAAAAAATTGCAAGTTACTTATATTTAACTTATGTTACTTAGAGCTACAATTTAAAATTCTTAAAAAGTTAAGTTTCCTAAGTTAACTGGTAAGTTGTGTAAGTAGGTCAAGTGCCATAAGTAATTTACATGTATTCTATCCCAAAACTATCCACCAACTAGGCTGGGGAGTGGTAACTGGCGGCTGCCAGTCATGCAGTTCCATCACCTCAGTGCGATTGAGCCATATGCAGGTCACTCCTTCAGGAAAGCCGAATGGGATATGGGTACATGGCTGCGGCTGACGGCAATCATCACAGTACAACCAGAAGGTGCTTGCATTGGGGCCACGATTTGTAGGTTCAGTGCGCAGCAAGGCCTGGTAGTGGCCTGCACGTTCATTGCCATAGTGTGCAAATGCCGCCACTGTCTGGTATTTCTGTGAAAGCGACGGGTGTGGGTCGCTTTTTCCCAGGCTTGCACAGCCAAGTACTCAAGGGCCCTACGCAAGTAGTGAGCCGAAAGTCACGTCGGGTGAAAGTCTGTACGGACGTGTCATGCAAAAAGTGAGACATGTATACATGTGCGGTTTTCACACTCCCACAGTTTTTAAACTGAGGCCACTACTTGGTAGGCGTCAAGTTGTCATTTGCAGGGTTTCTGACCTCACTGCAAGACTTCCTTAAGCTGGCAGATTGGGTCTCTCAACCATTGTAGAAATGACCATCTGAGTTGGTCAGAATCTTTGGTGAGGACGTCTGCCACCATTTGTGTTGTCGGTACCCATCGGAATAGCTTCGTGTCAATTGCTTCCTGTATCGCTCTGATAGTGAGCAAGACAAGTTTTTCTTCCGTCGATGGGTTGGATGCTATCACTGAGTCAAACAAGCTTCGGCAGTCTGTGGCATGGACGTGCGGAAGCTTGGGTCCAGTCTTCAGAATGCTCTCGCCCGTGAACAATTCTGTCAAGATAGAGTTCACCAAGGCGGCTCTGTCAATCGCATCGTCTGCCGCGTAGGCCTCTCCTGCGATGGTGGATCTGACTACTCTTGGTGTACGGCATGTCTTCCAATCAATCATGGTACACCGGGATCGGCCTTCAAAACACTCCGGAGGTGCGAGTACCACTACGATCCCTTCTTGTGATCGCATCCCCTGGGCGTTCGCCCAACTACAGTCACCATATGAGACCACGTGGGTGCTCATGTTCAGATCGATTGGCTTGATCACGATGCAAACCTCTTCCGTTGCTTGGAAGTACGTCATTAGCTTGTACAGCGTCTTAAGGTCATCAACCGTGGTTTCAGTACCTCGATTGGCCAATGAGACGCAGGCTGCACCGTCAGGTCGCGTCTGGCTTACCAGCCACTGCAGCGATCCGCAACATGATCTGAACTCGGTGAGTTCTTCCGGTGTCAGCTTCGGGTCTTGCTGGGATCTTGATCTCGTGACCTTTCCCCGTTGCATTCCCTTGATAAACTCGCGCTGACTAACGGTGAGGACCAGTTCGCCTTCCTGCTGAACGGCTTTCAGTTCCTTGCCTTTGAACTTGAATCCTTGTTCAGCGGTGGTCCATCCACCCCATGTGAACATACTTTCCAACACAGTGAAGTCAAAATCTTCACGGTGGGTGATGAGAAAGTGATCCACGTACACTAGTGCTAAATCTAGCTCTCCTGATGTGTCCGGGTGCTCGAACAGCATCTTGTCGAGAGTAGAACTCACGAAGTTGGCTTCTGTGAGCTTCTTGATCACCTCTTGGAGCCCATACACATTTCCTACGATCCGGTACAGAGGTGCTTTCCAACCTCCTTTCACAGCTTGGGCTATTGGATCTGACGGCGGAGTCATATACAATTTGCGGGGTCGTTCAGCTTCTGGCTGAGACCCCTGCAGCAGGAATGCTGTGCTAGCGTCTGCAGCCTTCAGAATCCAAATTTTGCCTGAGCGAAGCAGCCGCTTGTTGGCACCTGACACGAACACTGTGAGCAGTATCATCTCCGATGTTCGGCTTGGTGTCGGGCTGTCTCTTGTTAACCGCCCGAGATCGGGATCTGTGTGTCCCAACACCACTACTCGAGCTTTAGCTCGTAGGGGTGGGTTTCCCACATTCTTGTCCCGGTAGCAGCTTCGGGATCGCAAGATCCGCTTCCTCTTTGCTTTGTCTGCGAAGACCTCGCGTTATTCTGTTTCTGTCAAAGGAATCACGGGTCCCCATTCTGCCCAAGACTTAAATTCCTTTTCGGCAGCTTCCTTGAAGGCTTGGAGGTACTCTCCTCCTTTGGCGGTGATTTCTCTCCACGGGATTTCTCTGTCCAGCGCCTTTTGCTCCTTTCGAGTGAGCTGAATGGTGTTTACCAAGACCTCTTGGTCGCCTGTGTAGCACGCTCTCCAATTGGGGTTGCACCTCTCCACCTGGAGGTCATCATCGGACCCAATGTCTGGTGCTTCGTGCTCAGATTGAAACACTTCTGGGAGGTTCACCAGGCGCTCTTTTGCTCGGACGATGGGCGGTGATCCATCGTTTCCTGTCTCGATCAGGCCATATACGCCCGGGGTTACCTCTAAGATCAAAATAGTTTAAAAATAGTCCTAGGAGCAATTTAGTCAAAAATAAGGATTTAGTCTTTAGTCGCTGGAGTAAATTTACTCCTTTTAGATCCTCGATGAAATATAGGGTGAGCAGCTGTGCACCGGTTTTGTGGGTATGAAATATGGGGTCACAGGTCCCCTAGCTATGCCCAACCCAAAAAGCAGCTCTACAAAATGATGCTGCAGGTGCCCCACACATACCCAGGTGGAGCCTACAAAAAGCCACTCGCATTTTTGTTCTTAACGCTGAAACCAGATGCATGTACGACTAAGATAAGCCCGAGGCTTTTTGTAGTCTCAACCAGTTTGGTTTCTGATCATCTCTGCTCAATCACTCTGCTGAACTTTTTTGTTCCCCAAGAGCCATTTTGTAGGCAAGCATCAGTGGCCTAATGGATGCTAGTCTATCCTAATCTACGTGCTTTGGAGCAGATTTCTGTCTTGAGCAATGCTGACAAAACTTCATTGTCTTCACATTCTTTTGTTTGCGAAGACAGTCTGGGCTAAGGTGGTAACACTGTCCACGTGATGCTTTTGAGTTTGACCAAACTGGTCATTTTGTAGGGCCATGAGGTGGGGCCCGCATTTTGTAGCAGGTGGATAGGCCTGGTGGAGGTGACTTTAATCTTGCAGACCTCAGCCAATCATCAGTGCTGCTCCACTAATAATTAATTTTGAATCCGATGCGGTAGGTCGATCAATGCCGGAACGATCTTCCAGTCCAATCCATTTCTGAAGGCCAGAGTGCTTGATTAATGTTCCTGGTTGAACAGCTGCATGCATCAAATGAATTCAAATGACTGGTTTGACAAAACTTGCATAGTGCCTATTACTTATATTGTTGAATCATGTTTGGTTCAACAGTTTTGCGTAGTTTTGTTTGCAGTTTGATTTATGTGGTCAAGTCCTGGCCCTTGACAATCGCGTAGCAATGCATAGCGTGTCTATGCAAGATTTGCCACAATGAGACATCACGGAGAAGCTGTGGCATTGGGAGGGAGCAGAAAAGCAGTAGCGTTGAGATATGCTTTTTGTAGCCAGAGTTCTTGTGCTCTCCGTTTTGTAAACCAGACAATTTTTGAACCGCGCTTTGGCATGGCACAGCCTGTGATGATTTTACTTAAGTGCGACAGATGCATTCGACTTCATCTGAAATATGGTAATGAAATGTAATGGATAGATATGGATAGATTTGGATAAATGCTGAACTTCTTGGCTGTGTGGTGAATTCTTTAGCCATTTGGGGATCTCGAAAGGTAGGGGCAGCATTAGGACAAACACAAGAAAATAAGTGAAGTTCCATCTGCATCCGTCTGCTATCATTTTGTAAGGGAAATTCGGCGGAGGGTACATAGATATACATTGTCTACAAAATGCATTCCCTGATTCTCTTGGGCTACGTTGTAAATTACATGATTCAGCCACAATGAGACTACAAAATGCAGTCAGCAATTCATGACCTGAACTAATATCACATCATCTTCCATTTTTGATTCGACGTTTTGGAGGCCTACAAAAAGCTTGTTGTATTTGCCAAACAGGGGGGCTACAAAATGCTTAGGGTAGCTTTATTACAAAAAGGGGTGCCCAAGACCAATTTCAGCTACAAAAATCTCTCCCCAGACCATTTTATACCGTACACGTGTTCTCCCTTTTTGTAGTGGAAATACCATCGGGGATCCTTTTAGGAGTAAATTGAAAGACTAAATTTACTCCTAGGACTAAATTTACTCCCCGGGCTAAATCGATATTTACTCCTTTTTGCAATGCAAACTGCATTATGAACAATGAAAACTGCATTATGAGCAATGCAAACTGCATTATGAGCAATGCAAACTGCATTATGAGCAATGAAAACTGCATTATGAGCAATGCAAACTGCATTATGAGCAATGCAAACTGCATTATGAGCAATGAAAACTGCATTATGGGCAATGCACTTTGCATTGCTTTGCCTAAATTTACTCCCGGAAATTGAACCTTGATTTACGTAATTTTTTGGGTAGTAATTTACTCCCCCGGGAGTAAATTAGTCGGGGAGTATTTTTAGACTATTTTCATCTTACAGGTATTTGCTCGAGCACGTATGTTGCTTCCGCTGGAATCCCTTGTGCTGCCGCGGCTGGTGCTGGTACTGGAGCCGTCTCTCCTTCCAGCGCACTTTTCTTGGTTACTTGTTCGTCCTCTCTTGGAGGTGCTGATCTTTTGACCGGTTCTGCTCGGTCTTCTTGCATTTCCTCGCCAGGTGCTTCTTGTCCTGTCACCTGGGGCGCTGCTCTTTCTGGGTCTCCTTGGGAGGCTGATGCCATGCTTGGTTGCATGCTTTCTCTTCTGGATGCCGCAAGGCTCGGTAGTCTGGACTCTGGTGGTTCCGACCTTTGGTATGATGCCACTGCTTCGGGAAGTCTGAGTAAGTCTATTCCCGGATCAAGTGGCTCGTATTGAATCTCTGGAACCATATAGGTTCTTCCTCCGGTGGTCCTTCGCCGATTTCTTCTTGGACTTCACCGCGGATGAAATTTTGTTCGGCATCCTTTAGTGCCTGGATATCGGACTGATCGGGCACCCATGTCTCGAACCCGTACGCGGGTCGCATCTGGGCACGGTCGACCTTTATGGTTTGCCAACCAATTTGTATCCAAGCAGATGCGCCGTCCCAGGCAATGAGTTTGCCTATCACATACCCTCCTCGCTTCTTCGTGGAGCGGCCATGCAGTTGAGATCTCCAAACTGCAACCTTTGCTCCTGGGGTTATGTCGTCGACCCTCATGTGAGCAGTCTTTCTTAACAGGGCTCTTCGCAGATGCATGTCCACGTTGACATCTGCAACTGCCTTCTGTGCTTCGGCCCTGAAGATCATTGACCGGAGACGATGTTGTTGCTCGTCTACGTCCACGGCCAGTGAGTTTTCATCTGTTAGCAGGTCGCCTGGCATTCTGGGAATTTTCCCGAACGCACAGGAATACGCGGACATTCCTCGGGTGCGGGGTACCGAGTTCAACGCGTATATGCAGGCTTCCACTGTTTCCTCCATTGATGTAAGATCCGCTGCAGCCATGGAATCGGCTGTCCTGTTTAGTGCCTCGCGGAACACTGTGTTGTTTCGTTCCGCCTTTCCAAGCTTGTAATGTGCCTCGGCTGGCACGTACTCAGTCTCGATTCCGGCTCTGACAAGGTACTCCCACATATCCCCTTCGAAGCTTCCATCTTGGTCTAAAGTCACCTTGTACGGGGCCCCATAGGGTCGTACCCACATTTCCTTGAACGCTTCGAGGACTGTGGTGGGGTTTTTATCTGGGAGGATTCGGACCTGATGCAGGTTCGATGCCTCATCTATCACTCCCAGCATAGTGTAGTTTTCCCCTTTGACATCTCTCGCATAGAAGATGTCCATGAGCACATTGTCACCCAGCTGTCCCAGATATTTGACCGTCTTTGATGGTCTGTTCCTTGGTGCTTGCCGCATTTGCTCGCAGCTCGCGCAGCATAGCTTTTTGGCGGCGGACAAAGCTTGCGGGGTGATAGATCCGTGAAGAGCCAGCATTCGGACCAAATCATTTGATGTTGGATGCCCCAAATTCACGTGCAGTCGGGCCACTGCCCTTTTGATGTCTCTCGGAACGCTACATTCCGGAAAGCTGATCTCGGCTGCTCTCGCTTCTGCTTGGGGAATCTCTGTCTGGGGACTTTGTTGGGGTTGTTCATCATCGCGGGCTTGCCCGTATACGATGATGCCCAGCTTAACTGGTTTGGCAAATTTCTGCCTCGGGAAGGTTATATTCTGGATGTCTTCACTCTCCACTGTGATTGAGCTGTCGTTGTGGAGGAAGACTCCTGCCCGATGAGTGAATGGAAAATTGGTGGGGGGTCGTCTGGCGGCCGGTGCTCTCGCCAGTTGGATTCTTGCAATTTCCCATGGAATCAGGTCAGAGATGTTGTGGTAGAGATCATTGCCTTCTGTGAGGGTGATCTGTCGCACCGAACTTTCTCGGAACATATCTTGCACCTGTTCCATCACCCTTTTCCACGCCTCCTTATCTCTGATGATGTCAAGATAGAGTACTTCTCGGTGGTTGGACACTGTGGGGGCTCTGTCCCACTCTCCACAGGCCACCGATGTCCTTCGGCGTGTTACCTTTTCTTGGAACCTTGTTGGCTGAAAATGTCTTGCCATTCTTCGGACTCCTTGAAGAATCGTGTGGGCAAGCTCCTCGGCTTGGTTGGTCAGACCCTCAACCAGCCACTCATGATTTGCAGCCAATTGGATCCTTTCGGCCTTCTTTTCTGAGGCTTCGGCTATCCCCGCTGCTGCGTGGGAAGTGTTGATCACTTCCATTACCCTTGGATGTGACCAAGAATGGTTTCCCCTGCGGATGCACTAGTATCCAGAATCTGCCTCGTCTGGCTTGCTCTTGCAGGGTCCACATAGCCGCATTCCAGAACGACTTTTGTTCTGCAGACCCGATGCTTCCATTTTCCGCACTGTTCCTGGCTCCAGGGGACCGGTGGTTCTTCCCTGGTCCGGTGTGAGGTGGTGAGCCCATACTGCGGGGCTTCCCTTGTCATAGTTGTGGCCAACGTAGGACTCTTCGGCCCTGGGTTAGCCCATTCGTAGTGCATGCAGATAAAATCAGTTCCAGTGTCAGTTTTGCTGCGACTCTCATCAGCGCGGCTCAGTTCCTGTATCGTGGTGTCGCGTTCCATCTCTAGCAGCTGTGCTGGCTTCGCAGCTTTGCTCGCCAGAAGCTTCCTTTCTCCGGCCTTCAGAGTCGCTGGTTGTGCTCGGCGATGGCATCCACCAGTAGGAATTGTTCGTCCGGAACTTCTTCCCATGTCATCGGCTCTTGGGAGTTCATATCGAAATGTTCCGGAGCTCGCCTCGTGCGCCTCTTCGGCTGAGACTTCGGGCGGGAGCCATCCCCAGCCCGGCTCGCTGAAGCCTTGGCCTTCGGCGGTGCCACCGGCATTTCCGAGGGATGCGGCAAACGCTGCGATGATTGACTGCAACATGCTACAACTACAACTGCAACTGCAACTACAGCTACCACTACATTGCACTACGCTACACTACACTACACGAACCAAATACATTACATACATCACATTACGCGACAACTACAACTACACTACTTTACACTACACCACACTACTTGGAGGCTCGGGGGTGGTTATAAGCACATAGGGGACATACTAGGTACATACGGCACTTACTATTGGGATACAGAGCTTACAGTACCCCTAGCATCGAGCGTGTGTAACTATGTCTAACATTCACGAATGTTCAAAATATTTCCTTCCGTAGGCTCTGGTGACCTCCGTAGCTCCTCAGAACCGACATTCATATATGACTTTTTGGGTCTTATTTCATATATGACTTTTGGTCTTTCGAGGGTTAAGATTTCTTTGAAATTTGCTAGTTTTTGATCCTGAAGATTTACAATTTCTCAGTTCCCACGGCCCACAACGGGATTCATCATCATTTTTTCACCTTGCTGCTGACCGCAGTGGCTGGTTGGTGCGCCCTTGGTTGTAGCTGCCAAGTCGCAGAAGCCAACGACCTAAGAGCCTCAACTCCAACAAACGCCGATGCACCTTGCGTGCGATCTGTTTCACAGATCCCACGCAATCTTCGTCTTGATAAGTATGCCAGAAACGGCAGTTGACCAACGATGTTTTCATCTCCAGGTTGATCTCCTGAAAGGCCTAAGATGTTTGCTTGAACCCTGAAGTTATTTATATAGCATCATCATCATCATCCTCACCATCACCATCATCATCATCATCATCACCGCCATCATCACCATCATCATCATTTGCATCATCATCATCATCATCATCATCAGCACCATTATCATCCCTAATCAAAACCAAAACACGATCATCAAAGAAGGGAATCAAATCATATGGCTAAACCATGACCAAAGAGCATGGTGCTTCGGCTTTGACGGCCAATGCAATTCAGATTTCCTCTGGGCATGTCGAATCAACATGCGGTAGCGCCTCAAGAACCTTGCAGCAGGTTAAAGAATGAAACATACAAAATGATAACTCATTCATTTCCAAGTAATTTCATCAGTTCGTTTGCTTGAACATTTTCATACCCAAATAGCTTGAACACATCTTGAACATCGGTTTGTTAGCTGCCAGCCCTTATGCAAGAGCCATGGCTTCAATGCTGAAGCGAGACAAGGCACAGCAGTGAAGTGTCCCAGATGTCGTCAGCCTGTTCCCGGGTTAAATAGCGATTTGCATGTTCCACCTTCGAAAACCAAGCACACATTGAAGTCAGCACCCCATGGATCAAGAGCAGTTCTCGATCAATAGCAATGCCAGCATCATGCCGTTCAGTAATCATCTGGGCCATTAAGCATTGCAGGTAGCTAAGAAGCACTCTGCTTGCATACGCTTTGATTCTCAATTCGGGATACTCTCCGGGCTTGACCAACAGCAGGGCCGCACAAATTGGAGGTTGGTAATGCCTCCAGGGACCCAATCAGTTTTGAGAAACAATGACATAAATGTACCCTTTTGTGGTATACGTTTACTTTCTGCATTACCTTGCTAAGCAAAACAAAATCCAGCACCTGATCTTGTGCTGACTGCACCATTTGTTGAACTCCCTGGTCATGGCCGATAGGTCATCAGCAAGTGAGTTACTACCTGGGGATGCGGCAACACAATTATTGACAAACAGCGTTGGCATTCTTTGTAAGTTTTCTGGTGGTAGGTAGATAAGATCTAAATTTCACCAACCTATGTTGACCTCATCAGCAGCAAGTGCAGCCAGAACACCAAAATATGCATATTTGTTCTCGCGCAATTTGTGAATTGTGCTTCCGTTCAGCCATTGCACGATTCCAAGATTGCATGTATGCATACCTGCAGTTCAATGGGTGTTCTGAACATCAACGACTGTTTAATCCCAAAGGTTTGTTCATGGAAAACACTTCAAATCATTCATTTCGACATAAATCAAGCAAGGCTGCTACATGCTTTCAGCATCCAGGGATGAAATCCAGTGATCGCCTGACATGTATGGGTGTGTGTCTGTGTGGGGGTGAGGTAAAAACTAAGAACACTCTTTGCATTGGGTTTCGGAAACATTTCCATCATGGCCAGGGGACACAAAGAGGATTTACATAGTTGCCCAAGCATTGAAGGTAGAACTCAGGGACGTTGAAGCGATGAAATTGCTCCATTGCATCGAAGTTGGTGTACCTGTGCGCAGTTGTTCATGTTCAGGAAATTATTGTTGCATTCCACATTCGGTTTTTTCAAACCTTTCGAACAGCACTAGTGGAAACCCATAAAAAAAACTCCAAATAAAAACATATAGCAACATGTTCAATGCTGAACAAAACTATGTTACTGATTGGGGCCAGCTCGTGTGGAGGCCACACATCGATGACAAAGGTTAATGGCCTTGTAATTCCTTTTCAAGCCCCAAAGTTCAAGGTGCCATTTCCAATCCCCTCGGCACTCTACTAATGCAAATGATTCAGGAAATTTTCCTCTGCGCCGGTTCCAGGGTTCGCCATTCGGCCCCACTGTTGGCCACATGCCAATGTAGCCAACCTGGTGCAGGTCGGTCCAAACTATATGCCACATGGTTTTTCACTTCACAGGACTGGACTTTGGTGGGAATCTAGCAGTACTAGTTAACATTATTTTTGTGGGACAGAATCAAATCGAATGTTCAAGCTCAGGAGCATTAAGGCTCCAAGCAATCACCCGCAGAATTGGATCTAAAGTTCGCTCCCCAAGTGTCAACTCATAGCGGAGCACAAAGAATGGAAATCTCGAGAGATCAAGTCCTAGGATGTTGTGCTCATAACTTTCGCACAAGCTGCACATACTTATTTGGAAACCAACCAAATCAAATAAAAATTGCCAAGAAACGCATTGTTGTTTGAATCACGATATTCAGTAGCATGACAATCACCTTTGCCCCAGCCAATGTGTACTTTGCATCGTCTCCAAAGATGCCTATTGGGATGTGCCTACCCTCCCCAGCAGCCGGATGGTCAATAGGGATGTGATCCCTCCAGTGTTTCCAGAATGATGCTACATCGGCAGTTTTCCAGGAAATCTTCCGATTCTCCTCGGCTATGAATGCAGCCAAGGCGTGATGTGCAATTTTGTGGGGAAAGAGGTGCCAGGGGAAAAGATTTTTTTTTTTAAATATATATATCACCTAGATATATAGATAGATATTTTTATATGTATATATATATGCAGCAAAAAAACAAACCAAAGACAAGGGGCGACAAGGTAGCACAACAATTCATGTGGCATCACCATCGGAACCCTCATAGTGGTTGTGGCACCCTTTGTACTGGACTCCAAATCTTTGATGGGAATCTCCACAAAGTGCAATGCCTCAAGTGATAAGCAACACACTAGCATTTACGTACCGAAGATTTGTTTCTATGTTAGCTAGGTTTCCAGCTACCTGTGGGGGTGCATGCAAGTGTCTTGGGTGGTTCAAGCAGAAAATCATTAACATCAACATACGGATACCACACAACTCGATATGCTTGTTGGGTATACAAACACATAGAATTCAAATTGGCAAGATACTAATGGAAGGTCAAGGGCGGCAACCAGATCCCTTTCCACATTGCCAGGGAACTTGCCTGAGCACCCAATCCGGCTGATTTTCGTTGTCAGCTGGCTGCATGCTCCATTGCTTTCCTGGTTCACATTGCATTGATTGGGAGATATCGATGGTTTGCAATATTAACAAAAGGGTTATCATTCTGGGGAAACGATTAGTACGATATCATTCTATATATCATGCGCTAAAGCTGGCAGCTTATACCAATTTGGAGCCAAGACACTCGCACACAGGCTTCCGCGGCTTTCTGCAGATCCAACACCGATGCTGCCTGGGCTTCTCAGAAGGGTGGGTCTTGTAAGTTTCTTTCATGTTGGTGTTTTGATATTTATAGATATTGCATGATCCCATGAATTATTTATTGTAAACCGCATGGTACAACCTCCCAATATTGTTCAACAAGGTACACCACGACCAAGTGTTGAGAGCAAATGCTCCGCAAAGCTTGTATCTGCGCAGGGGGTGAAAAGCAAACAACATATGCTGTGATTATGCATATGTCCTGCATGCATGCAATCAAAGACGGGTAAGCTAAGCATATCTTTTCCCTGCTTGCTGGTGCATGTCCGGTGTCAAGTGCTAGGTCATCACCCCGCAATCATTGATTGCATACCAGTCCCGGGGGTTTTGGACTTTGTGGCAGGGACAGCTCTGAATGGGTCAACAGACGAATGAAATTCCTCGGAAATATTCTGCAGTGCAACATGTTTTTGCTTAGTTCATGTCCATCTGCAAGAGCTCCCTGCAGGCATCCACCCCAGGTTCATGATTTGTTCTAGCACAAACACGTGACCTAAGCACCATAAATATGGGGATTTTGTCACAGGAGACATCGTGCCATGGGGACATCATGTCAGGGGCACGTCATGTACATACATCCAAAAAGCGCAAACCCAGGTGGAATGCTAGTCGGATTTCTCCGCCATTGGCTTGGCCTTGGCCTTGGGCTTGGGAACCAAGCTTTTCACACTCGTCGCTGCCGACTTGTAAGAAGCCACCGCTTGCACCACCGATTGGGTAGGTGCCACCAGAGCTTCCCCTTCTTCACCACCAGCAATAAAGCCCTCGGAACATCAGGCATTTCTTGTGCGTTTTGATTAAATCTATGGATTCCCAACATGCATGTCCAGATTGTATTGAACCATTTCCACATTATATATATAAATTGAATTGGTAGCCCGGCCTCCAGTGTTGCCCTTGCATTCTCAAGGGAGGCCACATGCTTCTCCATATCTTGCACAGCGCATTTGCGCATACTCTCCGGCCTCAGGTTGGACCAGAGATGTCATGGACAAACTAGGGGGCTAGATGTTCGGTCACTCAGTTCTGGACACACCAGCCTTCAACAAGACAGGGCTCCAGCCTCACTGGGTTAGAGATGGTGGATTAGGGAATGACATAATAATGAATTTGGGAATGACCTAGCTCAACATGTCCTGCAAGCGAGAAGCTTTTCGCTTCCAGTATGCAATGGGCTGCTGACTGCATAGCCTCATGAGTAGCCAGGGTGCATACCATTATTGGTCTTTGATTATTATAATCAAATTCAATACAATATGAAGAAGAAGAAAACCTTTATAGAATCAAAGAAACTCCCTTGGCTTCTTGAACTGGTGTCTTCGCCTTTGGGGGCTTGTTGTTGGCGGTCTTGGGCTTCGGTTTTGGTTTGGGCTTTGGTGCCCCAGGTGCCGCTTTCGCATCAGGTTGGCCAGGCACATTCGGTTTCGGTGGTTCAAGCAAAGTTGGGGTCGTGAAGGAATGTGGCATCATGCTCAACGGGTTCGACCTTGATTTGGGCATGCAAATGCAGTGGGTTATGAGGGTTAAATAGGGTAGGTATACATGAGACATGTGAAAGTCATCAACTTCTAAGAGTGGCACATCATATCTGCAGCATGAGCATTGCTGATCTCGGCATCCTTGCTGATCTCCACAGATTGGGCCACACGCTGCGAGGAACGCTCAAGACTGGAATCCCAGCACCAATACATCTTCAACTCCTCAGGTGATGCGGCATCATGCAGGGGTGATGTGTAGTGTGCTTAGGGGAACTTTCAAACCCCACCCGCATGATAGTGCAAGCTAGAGGCAGGGCAGTCCGGATTGAATTCATATTGGTTGTCCTTTTCCTGCGGCTGCAAATGTTTTGAACCACATGTACATATATATATATAGATATTTTTTTGAAGATTGTGAACCATATTATAATATATAGTGTGGGTTCATGTCCTTCGCCGCCACGATGCTGTCGACCAGCTGCGAGTTTTCATGATATTTTTTCATGAGGTCCTTGGTTGGGATTAAATGGCCCATGCACGGATATCAGCATGTCATGTTTCCCTCCCCACCACATGATTTTTTTCATCCAAGTCACCTCCCTGGAAAGCAATTTATATTGCCCTTGTCGCTGATGTTCTCTGCTTGCCCTGCACGATGCCACAAAGGTGCTGCAGCTCCAGTCTTCATGACACTGCAGAAATTCCTCGAACAGCTGCCATCGTTCTTGATGGCTAGCCTTTCCACCTTGGTATTTTTGCATGACACACAGAATGCTGGTTTTTGAAATTGTATTTCAGATGTCATGTTTTGATATCTAGATTTCCAAATTTAGTCACGTTTTATATGCACTTATGTTTTTCTCCAGGTTACCTTTGGCTTTGATTTCCTTGAACCGCTTTGAGACCTCCTCTGGGCAACGTTCACCTCAGTAAGATTAAATATATATCATATATATATATATATATTCAAAGAAATATCTTATTAATATACCTTTGTATTAACCATATTTATTTACTATATGTTGGGAACTTCGGGAACTAGTGATTAGCGCACATTGAGGCATCATGCAAAACAAATGATTTGATTTTCACTGGCCCATTGCAGGGCCTGGTCGAGGGAAAGGGCGTGTATGTTGCCAGCGAGGGGAAACATTGATAGGGCATCATGGCTGGAGCGATGAAGGGAACACTGTGATGGGCCTACTTGTGACATGGATTTAAGGGGTTGCAAAGATATCTGCCAACAAGAAGCTCGTCATTAAGTGCAGCCAAAGAGCTGTGAACCGACCTGTGAAAACGCATATAAGCTGCTTTCAACGCCTTGCCATCATCAGCCTTGTCTTCGCCCATTGCTGCACCCGCATCTGCCTTTGCTGGTGCCGGAACCATTGCCGTTGTTGGCGCCGTTGCCGGTGCTGATGCCGTTGGGGTCGTTGGTGTGTCTGATGCTTTTTCAGCCACCTTGATGTCATCCTGAGGCGGTTCCCACACATCACTTGGAACCAGCCCAGCTGCAAGAGCATCTGCTCTTGAGAGCGGCACCCAGACGTCTTGCGGCACGCCCGCCAAAGTCATGACAACCGAAGTGTAGGCCTTCAGCTCATTCGGAACAACTCCCATGGCCTCTGACACCTCTGCAACGGGACTGGGTGCTGGGGTGGTAGGTGCAGGAGATGGTGCCCCCATGAGGTCCAAAGTTGTCTTCCTCATAAGGGCAGCCTTCACATCATCATGTGTGGGAGCAAATTCCTGCTTCTTTGCTGCCGGTGTGGAAGGTGGATTTGCTGTTCCATCGCTGGGAGTGCCATGTTGCATGGTCATGCCTTTCTCCTTCACACTGGGTTCATGTAGTGCAGCTCCTTCTTCAACTCGATGCTCTTCCACAACCTCAAGAGGTGAAGTTCCAGGAGAATCCTTCAAGGTATCTTCCACGTCCAAAGACATCTTGGTGCCCTTGTCTTCAGCAGTGTCAGGCTCTGAAGGTCCTGTAGCTGTTTCACCTGTAAGGAATGCCATGTCAGGCCCCCATGGGTACAAGGTGGGATCCCCAAGCTGATTTTCCACAAAGATTTCACCTGGAGAGGATTCCACATCCACAGGCGCAGGTGCAGGTACTTCTTGGGGAACAGCTGGGGTGGCTTCATCGGCTCGATGCATGTCCAGTGGCTCTGTAGAAGCCATAGGTGGCACAGATGCGCCTCCACCACTGTGTGAAGCTGCCTCTCCTCCCTGTGGCGTCTCCACCATGGAACCAGATGGACGCTTGAACTTCGACCAAAACATTTTGTAGGCCTGGGTGTTCTCACCTGAAGGCGATCCCATGGGGACCACTGGTTCGGCAGGCGCATCAGCAGCCACTGGTGCACCATGAGGCGCCACAGGCTTCTCAGTGGGTACACTTGGCAGCTCATCACGTTCCTTCACCAATGGTACTGGTGCCACCTCTTCTTTCATTGAAGCCTCCGAAGACTTCTCAGCAACACGCAGCATCAATTCTCCCAGGCACTCAGGGTTCGCCTGGAAAATAGGATTTGAAGCCAGTTTTTCCAAGGCTGATTGAACCTGCAGCAGCACAATGGATTGATCTGCACATGGATTCCATGCACATGGGGGATCGCACATGTTTGGAACATGTCTGGGATATGTGGTATATCATTAATTATGCTATTATATTTATATATATAATATTTAAGTATATTAGTATATATATTATATGATAATATTACATAATGTCGTTTACTTTATATATTAAATTATATATATATATATGTAGTGTTGATTCACTGTTTGAGAAACAATTCAACAAATGTAGGGTTGGTGAATCTAACTGGCTGTCCCTGACATACCACCATCCCAATGCATCAAATGATTCTCAGACAAAGAACGTCTGCCGGAAAGGTCAACGATGCAGCTTTCGCCGGATTTGGAAGCGGAGGCACCACTGGGAAGGACACCTGGGAGCCCAAAAGCCAGAAGGCATGTTTTGCCAGTTCAACATGATTTGCACAGGGGGACAATATATTTTGTTTTTTATGGTTTCAACAAGTCTGACAAATTATTGCAAATATATCGTTCAATCTTAAAGGGATGTGAATGTGTGTACCCATTTCAGTACTAGCTTGATTGGATATACTAGTGCTGCTAGTGGTCATGTGTTATAGCGAGCATTTCAAAACTGGTTTCGACTATGCAAGCCAAGATACAGCTGCCTTCACATCCATGGTAACAGGAGAAGCACCATGACCACCTGTCGGAAAGAACATGTTCACATGATTCCCACCGCCTCTAACACATAGCCCAATATGGCCATTCATTGTCCCATGACCCCCAGCCCCAAACATGATGCATTCTTGCAGAACCACATTAGCTATAAAGGGAATTGAACCACAACATATCTCACAGGCCTGTAGTATCCATAGGTTCAGCACCATTAGCATGGGGGAACAGCTCCACAGGCGGCACTGGCTTAATGCTGGAACCCATTGGTGCATCTTTAGACCCTGAAGATGCTCCATCACTCTTCTCACTAGACGTCATCAAACGTTTAGGATCGGGGGTGACTGTTGCCGGGGACGCTGTGGAAGCAACAGTATCTGGAGATTTCTTCAATGGTCTCTTCGATCCATGCGATGGGGGTGGAGTTGCCAGTGTTGCCAAAGACCGCCGCCGAGCACCCGCTGCCAAAGCAGCAGACAAAGCCTGAGCCACAGACGGTTTTGTATAGCATATACCTACAAAACCAAATAAATTGTATGAACAAATTTCACAACCACTATAATGATCAACGATGTCAAACAAACACATAGTGATGCCATGCAACAGTACTCATATCATCACCCAGGGAATCACCACTCATGGCGCCAAGTGTGAAAAGGCCCTTCACCAACTCCGAACACCTAAAGTTCCCTTGAACCAAGACAACAAAATCACGCGAAATCACGCGAAATCACGCGGGGGGTTTTCATATATGAGTTCTTGTTCGTGAATGTCAGTTCTGAGAATCGACATTTCTATGAATGTGGGTTCTGAGAGCATACATTCATATATTGGTTTTTCAAGAAATCACGCAAAATCACGCTGCATCACGCGGCATCACACATTGGAGATAGCATTTCATTTCAACAACTATATATATTTCTTAGTTTAAAACTAAGAGAACTGTAAGCAATGCTCTTCCCCAAAGCATGGATTGGCTAGGTAATTTGCAGAAACATTGATGCTTCTGTCCGGTTCCAGGTCCGGCAAACCTTGAATTAGAAAAGTTCATGGTTCCGTTTTAGAATCATGAAAGGGTTGCACTACAACGGGAGCCCTGGACAGGGGGAGAAGCGCCCCTCACGAGCTTCATTCACAAGGAATTCCCGTAGAGCACCAAGTTCAGCATGATCCCATTTGAATGGTGGTACCTGAGCAAGCATGCTTTCAATTTTGAACCCCGTAACCTCCCAGAATGTCTTGCATATCTATATGTCTACCTATATTCTAGCTATCTACCTACCTACCTACCTACCTATCTAACTATCTATCTAGCTATCTATCTGTCTATCTATCCATCCATCCATCCATCCAGTTATTTATCTGTCTATCTATATATTTATTATAAATGCACTTCTGGTCCCCAACCAAACCTTTTATCAAGCCAAGAGCACTAGGGGAGTCAGTGTGCCAAGATCATCGGCAGATACAGGCATATCGAGCTCCGGCATTTGTCCTTGAGCCTCATTGGCAGTTGTAGGAACTATAAATAAGAATAAATATATTACATCATGTTGTTTCAGCACAATATTGCAGATGGGGGTTATGAATGTGAACTAAACTTCCGAGGGGCAAGTACTGTTGCATGTTGGTCTGCAACAAAAGATGCAAATCCCGCTGGATACTCGGCTGATCTCTTTAATGATGGACCACCACTCCTGAAACTGAACAAAACATTGTTTAAATACATTCAGCTTTCTGAATGGTTTTGCAGTCCTTACCATGCAACAAAGAAAATAAGATAAGGCCCTGACACACGGACACATCCAGCACCATCGGTATAGCGGTTTACCATCTTCACACCATCACCGGCTTTAGACTTGAGGTCATCCTTCTGGGATTTTGACATCTTGTTCTCAAGGAAGTTGACCCACTGCCTAATAGGGGATATGCACTAGTAGGAAATGTATCTTAAATAGATCACCGAACCACCAGATATTGTTCATCGATCGTATTGCATGTGCATGCGAGGCTGCAAGATAAGTCGCCCACGGAGATCCAAGAAGCCAGGACGGCTTCGGTGTTGCCGATCCATATAACCCCATCCAACTGAGTCCATGCAGTGTTAACACATGTGTTTTCACATGTTGAATTGATTTCGCAAATGGAATCACACAGCCCACCCTTACCCACCAAGCCACAATCGGCGGAAGCTGGGGTGGCAATCTCCCAGTGCCGCAATGATATGTTGAACATAAGGAATAAAAATCAGCCGTGAGCTTGATGGTTGTTCTACCTGGGCATGCGGACTTGGCTATGACTAATTTTTATTTTTCATGATATGGCTTTAACCTAAAACACCAAGAGATTCATGATCGAGATGGTAAGCTGTAAACACCATATTGAATGATAACATTATTGTTTGTATGATTTTTGAGATGCCATGGGGGGTTGGGGGCATGTCATGCATGTCATGTCTTTTTGGCTAGTCAATATTATGTTTCATTCATATTCATGGGTACCCACCATGTTAAATATTAGCAACACAACCAATCACCACACACGACCCATAACCTGTTTTGTCTCATTGCGCCGTATTCCACCTGTTCTGGAATTCAAAATTTTCACCATGACCATGGAGTAGTTCGGACATCATGAACATGTTGGGCTCGGTGAGGGGCTTACGCTGCTTCTGCAACGTTTCTTGGTCACCTTGTCCTTGCTATCCTTCTCTCGTTTCTTATCCTTGGTTTTGCCCTTTTGCTTGTTAGCCTTCTCCTGCTTGGAAGCTTTTCGTTGCTCCTTCTTTTTGCCTGGTTGTGTTGATGGGCTCCTGGTGGCTGCGCCCTTAGCCTTTTGCTTGACACTGCCCTTTTCATTTGCATCCTGTGGCACTGCAGTGACTGCCTTAGAAGCTGTCGCCTTGACATGTGCTGGATTGAACCCTTCTGCTCGTTGCTTGGGCCGAGCTTGCACCTCTGCATGGACACCAGGCACCTCTGGGGCCTTGGTATTCTGTACATCTCTGGGCCTTTTGCATGTCGATGTATCCGACTTGGATGTCTCCGACGTGGATGTCTCTTCGGGTGTCGTCAACTTGGTGGGTGTCATTTCTGGAGTTTCTGGCACTTTGTGTCCTGATGCAGGAGTTGGCCGGTGCATGCTTTCCATGTCCATAGGGGGAGGTGGTGGCGGCTGTGGTGGTGGGCCCTTGCCAGGTGAAGGCTGAGGTCTCATCTTTGGCTGAATTTTTGCCGGAGATGATGGTGCAACCCCTTTGGCATCTTCATTCGTCTGTGTGTCTTGCTCTTGCTCTTGTACCCACTTCATCCACTTCTGTTCATCATGCCAAGCTGCCACCTGCTCTGGGGTCCATGTTTGCTGTTGATGTTGTTCTGAGTGGTCTGGATACAAAGGCTCCTCCAGCACAGACTCCATGTCATCTTCAGGATTTTTCTTCACAGCAGCTTTGGGCGGTGTTGGAGGAACATGCATTGCTGCTGCCGTCATTGGGAGGTTTGGCACTGGCACTGGGATGAGCACCTGGTTGTACTGTATGGGTCCCATGGTCGACATCACGAAAGCAGGTGGTTGGTAGTAGGACTCGTGTCTAAATGCAGGCTGGTTGCTTTTGTTGTTGAACCAGTGTCGTCCCACATTTGGAATAATCCCAGCACACCTGAACTTCCTCTCCCAAGGCTGCATGGATGTGACCGGTCCCGTCCAGCAAGTTCTCAGTCCGGGCGAAGGGTTCCAATCATATTCTTGAGCACCAGGTCCAGATAAGCCAAATGGCCCACACCCTTTTGCTTTATCACTAGCATCACCATCAAGATGGGGAGGATTGTGATCACTATGGGCACTGGTGGCTTCTCCATGGGCATGTAGATGTCGTTGATCCTGACTGGGTTGTTTCTGGTCACCATCATCGCCTCCATGTGCATCTTGTGTTTTGGTGTTGTGACTGTGACTGCCATAAGCACCTTCGGCCCACTGATTTTGTGGAACCCATTGCTCTCCGCCTTGCCCCACATCCTGACCACCGTGTTGTTCTTTCCAATGGTGCACATGTTCTGTGCTCCAGTCACTTTGTTCCTGTTGTTGCCATGTTCTATATTCCCAGTCTCCTTGTCCCTGCTGTTGTTGCCAACCACTTTGCGCATTTTGCCCATGCACTTCGTAAGCTTGCTGCCAACCACCTTGTTCCCACTGAGATCTATGTTCTTCCGGTTGCCCTTCAGCTTGCCCTCGTTGTTTCCATTGTCCATATTGGTTACCGTGTCCCTGTTCTTGCCAAGTGTTCTCATCATATTGGTACTGATCATGTGCCCACTGGCGATCAGCATCACCACCATTGGCAGGAACACTACTAGTGCTGGCCATTGCTCGTAACAGGCTCAACGGGCTGATTGAAAAATTGTTTCCAGTAGGGTCTAGATGTGGGGATGGGTCATTACGATGTAATGAGTGGCATGACATGAGGGAATGAAGTGCATGAACTGCTTATAACTACATCGCAGTTGTCATATATTGTTCTCAATCCGAACCATTGGAATTTAGTGCACATGTGTGAAGACTATGCCACTGACCCTGGACCGGAATGGCATCCTGGCAGGCATGCTATGGTATTACCACATGATGTTCCCAATATACCCCATCACAAAGGGTTCTGCATATGTCATCATTTCACCACCCATCGTCCACAACACATGTCACGCCCATCCCACACACATGCCTGTATCCAACCCCCCACCTATGTCACTATCAGCCAGGTTGCTGTCCAAAATATGTCAGTCGCCACACATAAAATAATGATGAGGCTGAGTCTGGCGATCAGCAAATTGGATATCTGCACCAGTCGCTGGCCTCAGCATCGGGTTAACGGCGGCGGTTGTGAAATGATGGTGCAAGGCCCGCATGGATGACACAGCGTGACAGCTATTGATAAGTACCTAGTGGTTATATTTTACATTTTTTTTAAATATATGTATATATATATATGTAATGGGCCGTGTCATGTGGGGAAAGAATCATGATCCAATGGGTCAATGGGTTTGATGGGGCATCAGGGCCAAAACCATATTGGTTTTGGTGGGGCATCATGACTGAACTGTTTGTTGGTTTGGGTGAAGCATCATGGCCAAAACGTGGGTTTGGATGAAGCATCATGCATGTTGCTATATATGGAATTCTTCGATTCTATCACGCCCCCCAACCCTTTCCCAGCACCAAGGTACCCGGGTGACCCATAGCACATAGGTGTCTCCAGTGCGTTCCCATAGACATGAATACGAATCTCAGTTCGTTATGTTTTGTCTGGTCTACGAATGCATGGTGGAAAACAATGCCATCCCCTATAAGTCTGTCATATTTGGGTGAATATTAGATATAATGCAACCTAGCAACCCATTACATGGGTGTCCTGCGTGGACCAAGCCGCCCCGTCGAACTCGGAGGACATCTTTGATAGCCACCAACAGGCCTTCCAGTGTCGTCAAGTCGTTGATAGCGCCACTTCTCCCAGCGCAATCAAACCATTGCCTCAGAGTTGAGAATTTATATATATATATAAATGATTTCATTTTGGTTACATATAATTAAGCTTCTAGCGTTCGAAATCCTCTTCGACCTCAAAGAATAAGATGCATGTGGGGGGATGGTTCCATGTCATGCTCTGGATATTAGTGGCTAGATGATAAGGACCCAGCGGAACTCTTGATGCAGTGAGCCACATCCAGAGAACATCTCATAGACATCGGTGTCCTCAAGGGTGCTGTTAAGATTACAATACGGCTTAATTTCCATGCATGGGAATGTGGACATGATGCAGGCAAATGAAAATTATGCAGCCGTGTGACACGTCTCCAGGCAATTCCTTCTGATGCAGCTGTTTGACTTATCCAGTCAGCAGCGTGAATCCTCACAACCCAACCACTCATCCAAGTTGCATGTTCATATATAGGGATATAATTCAAGTGTTAAACTGGCACAAACAATTATTTGCAATCCAAGGGCAGAAGTGCTGGAGCACCTAGAAGTAGCACAATTGCCGCTGACCGTGCTGACAAGATGGCAGGACGCCCGCCAACACATCTGCCCTCCATGCCAGTGAAGCTGGAGGCTAGCGGGGAACGGGGCCCAGGGCTGAAGCTAATGGGACTGAGGGGTGTTCGATAAATGACATGTCAAGTTTTGGGAAGTTCATGAGCATGTAATGATGCATACATCTCAAACCGATGAAGCCCTGAAATGCTGATTGTGATGAGATCTTTTGCTTTCCCTCGCAAGTTGCTTTGCAAACCTAAACGACTTTGCAGGATGGGGTGTGGTCACACATGGGATTACCTCCATGAGACCCCAGTTGCGTATGTAATCATACACAAAAGCTCATGTTTTTTGAGCTGCAAATTTCATTCATTTATCCTTGCCAGCTGCGCCCCACACAAATCAAACAGTGTAATGCATTTGAATAAGTTGGGAAAAACATTTAAATGACATCGGTTACCATTCTAGGGCCAGTTGGCAATGGATTTAGCAAGCTGCCATGCAGCCACCAAGCCGCCACGCTTCTTGAAAGACACTGTGCAGCCATTGGAACCATTGAGCTGCAAACCTTCAGGGAGGTCTGTATCCGATGGCACACCGTAGATGTAAAAGCTTCCCGCCGTCCACCTTGGAAATCACGGGTGCCGGTCATCATGTCATAGTTAAAGGAACCTGATGTTTGCATTTTCACTATGCGAGCAAACAAGTTCAAAAAAGACACAGTACGCCAATCGCACACCGCGACTGCTCACGGTCAGCCGGCAAAGTATAGGATTTCCGGTCACCAGCATAGTCAGGAGGCACAGGTACTCCAGCAGCTTTCAGGTCCAGCTCCTGATATATATATAATATATATATATACAACAACAATTTTGTAAATTGAGGTGCAAACCTTAAAAAATATATAGATGATGTTAGGGACGTTAATGTCGGTCCTTCTGGGACCAAGCCTTTTTCAAGGCTTCCTTGTCTTCCGGTTCCTTTGCTTGCTTCCTGCTCTTGGCTGGCCTTTTGTTGGGCGAAGGGTTTTCATCAGCAGCATTTTGGCCATCAGCTGATGGCACATCCTTGTTCTTGGGCTCAGGTTGTGTTGCACTTGCCGCTGGTGCTGGCTCTGCAACCACCTTGGGCTTCCTAGATCCTTTTCCTCGTCCCTTCCCTTTTGGCTTGGGGATCATGTCTTCATTCTCGGGGTCTGGCTGCTTCCCTCGGGTCCTTTTTCGAATGGCATCTTTCACCTTAGGTAGTGCTAGAACCCACAGTATAGCCCACATCCACATATACTAAACGAGCAGACAGTAGCCAAGTGCAGTGCAGACACTTTAGCCTGCGCCCTGACCAGGTCCACATCAGCATCATCATCAGCTTCGTCGGGGCACAAGCTTTGCACTTGGTCCTGGCAGCAGTGTAGGAATTTTGTTAAATTAATAACAGTTCTGAAACAAAAACATTTTGCAGAATAGAGACCGGAGAACCCATCCAAACAATTTAATGATAATCAATAATGTGCCTCTAAAGACTTGTCAATGGTCGCGACTCCACACAGAAGGGGCTTGGACTCCTGCAATAGGCTTTAACATTGTCTTCAGGTGTTCAGCTGTAAGCATAAGCTGTTTTGGTTGCTAACACCACTCCTGATACGCCTGTCTCAGTTGCTCCGTCTTGGTTGGTTCAGGTTCTCGAACTTCAGGTATCTCCTGGAATGCACTAAACCACCATGTAAAAAAATAATATAATTTAAAAAACAAATCCTATTCTTGTCACATGGATGCACACCTCCACCAAATCCACAGGTTCAGGGAGTTCAAGCGGTAGAGTCTCCATTTGGTCTGGATGCTGAAACAAAGCCTGTCCAAGATTGTTGTCATAAACTCCAAGAACCAGTCCCAGACAGAAAACAGTGAGCCTTCTTCACATCGATCTCAGGCTCAGAACTCTGCGGGCTGATCATCTCCTGAACCGATGGACAATTGATAGGGCTCCAGGTGATGCTGAGCACAACAACATTGTGTTAACACCAGATCTAAATTTATTTGTGTTTAAGACAAATTGCCTCGGCATCATCGCATGCATTCTGTAGAGCTGCTTGCTGTGCTGCATCCGTATCTGGGGAACAAGACACATGTGGCTGGATATAATTGCAAAATATATATATAGGGTTGTGCAAATCTAGCAAATCTAGCACATATAGTGCCTTGTCCATCTTCAGCCAGGGACATGCTGATGACCTTCTTGATGAGTGATACAGCCTTCTTCCTGCCCAATGAGATTATAAGATCAGTTGTTTTATTTGAGAAATCAATGTTGCAAGGTATCACCATGTATAAATATCCAGCCTTGACCCTCCAGCTCGGGCAGCAAGGGTATATCCATGAACGATCATGGCACGGCAGATGCCAGCGGTCAATCCAGCCCATGCCTGCCCCCAAGTTTCACATCACACAGACAAAACACATAACACCTTTTTTCAAGTCAAATGTGGTGATCATTGCAAACAAAAATCATATCTATTCAGCCTTGATCTGCTTCTTCTTTGTGGACGGTGGAAAGAAGCCATACCGTTGGGCACAGGCGTAGAACACCGCCTAGGATCCAATCTATCTAATTTCTATCAAGCTAATGGTATTGAAGTTGCAATACTTGTTAACATGATCATTACTAGTCATGCCTTGAAGACTCCTTGGTGCGGCGTCACTCCCAGTGGTGCAAAAGTAGCGTAGTACTCGACCAGGAAGCGCCAGTTGTACTCCAACTTAGCAAAGCTGTGGTTTATGGGGAACTCTATATTACATAGAACTCAAAGGTACTTAATGGAATCTAAGAAGAGAACGGCCTCTGCGGATTCTATGCCATTGCTGTCGAGCTGAAACAGTTTGGTCTCCTGATCATTTGAACTTGCTGATATATATCTTAAATTGTTTAATCAACTCAAAGCAAATGCTGAAAACCATGTGCTCCTGAGAATCTCTGATGCTGGGAATTCGATGGGGTTCTGCGTTCAGCCAAGCAATTACAAGATCCTCCAAGAGGTGGGCCTGGGATTTCTTCACATCCACTGGCTTGGCCTCAATTCCAACAAGCTAAGGGAAAATAAAATGTGGTCTGGACTAGTTGATATAGTTTTGTATATTGAACAAACCAATTCTGACTAGTGGCAACTTCAGCGCAATCCAAAGGTGACTCATGGTGCAAAGGTGCCATTGCTGCTAGCCCCACAGCTTTCACGAAAAACAAATGGCTACAGGTTAAAGAACAACATCAGGCTTTATGGGCATGACCAAAGGCTGCTGGGCATGTATGGCATGTGGGAGCACAGTGACATGTTCGGGCGCATGGGATAACATGCTGGGTGTGCATTGCATGTGGGAGCTGCATGACATGTTGGGGGCGCATGGCATGTGGGAGCTTCGTGATATGTTGGGGGCGCATGGCATGTGGGAGCTTCGTGATATGTTGGGCATGCAATGGGATGCAATGGGATGCATGATGCATGGCATGTGGGGCTTGCAAAACATGGAGGGTGTGCAGGGCGGCTGGGGCGCACCTTCAAATTGTTTGGCCACACTGGGAACGCCAGGAGCAGGAATCAATTGATGTTGGCCTTGGGGGAACTCACTGCATGTATCACATGGATCAAATTGCAAAAGATGCATAGATGCACATAAAATACATATCTGGGAGCCTGGCAAAGCGCAACAGCTCTCTTCATGCCCCAAGCGACGCAACCACATCATCCACTTCATGGCATGAGGGAAGGGAAAACGTTGCTAATGTGGTGAATTTGCACTAAGATTCATGGCATGAGGGTTGGAAAACTTTGCAAATGTGGTGAATTTGCACGAAGATCTAGTTTTATAACAACTAATTTTAGAATATATATAGGGATTTCGTGAATGTATATCCTCAGAACCAACATACAAAACTCATATATGAATGTGGCTCCTCAGAGCCGACATGGGCTCCGTGCATCCTCAGAATCGACATTCAAATGTAGGCAACTATTGCTTACAGAGAGTCTAAGGGGTATGTCACTTAGCGGACTTACTGGGACAGCACTTAGCGCACTTACGTAAGTGGCTTACAGCACTTACCTAAGTCCGCGAGCGCTTTTGTGTTTCCGCAAAACTCGATTTGGATTTTTGTGTTTCCACGAAAACTTGCAACGGAATTTTGTGTTTCCACCAAAACCCCATTCAGAATTTTTGTGTTTCCACCAAATGTGAAACGGGATTTTGTGTTTCCACAAATTTTTGTAAGTGCACTTAGCCTAGATACGTAAGTAGCGTAAATCCTTTACAGGACTCAGGCCACTTAGGGCTTAAGCTGCCTATCTCACTTAGCCCACATAGGCTAAGTGGTTAGCCAGGTGCCATAAGTCGCGTAATCATTTATGCAACATAATATATAGTTAGCCCAAAACTGTAACTACTTACGTAAGTGACTTAGAGACAGCACCCCGCTTAGCACCACTTATAAGGTAACTTAGCACCACTTATAAGGTAGGTTACAGCACTTAGTAAGTAGGTTATATAAGTGCTCTAACCTTGCTATGTACTTATAACCGCCCCCGGCCCTCCAAGTAGACTACGCTACACTATATCAGCCTACAGTACACATCAGTACACAACACATCAGTACACTGCACTACACTACACTAATTACACCGCACCACAACTACAACTGCAACTACACTATACTATACTATATAATTACACTACATTACAACTACAACTCCACTGAACTACACCACAACTACAACTACAACTGCATTACACCACATTACATCCAGCAGTTGTGGTGAGGTGACCACTGCAAACATTTCAAAAAGCACAACTGCAACCACCTCCGGGTCCAACAGTGGATTCGCTCTGGCATCCGTAATTCACAACGACCAACCTCTCCTATAGGTTTCTATTTTTGAAACTTCCGCTCCCATCTTGTGCGGTACTACTGGTAAGTTTCCTAATGAGTAGAAAAAAATGGATGGATGGATGGATGGATAGATAGATACATAGATAGTTAAGTAGGTAGGTAGGTAGATTGGCAAACAGGTAACCAGGTAGATACATAGGTAGATAGGTGGATAGGTAGGTGAGAAGATAGGTAGATAGGTAGATGATGGTGGACAAACGAATAGACCAGCTGTGCTGCTGAAAATGTATGATCCCCCTAGAACATCAAATCACCAGGCATCCACTTTGTTATCTCAGTGCAACCCTAAAGCCGCACATTAAATATTAATATATATATATAATATATATATCCAGTCAGGGGCTCCAAGATTCTAAACATACAATAGGATACAATAGGTCTATTTCTGACTCCAATAACTATAGTAACTTTGACTGTAAATCTAATTCTCAAACGATCGGTAGACATAAACTGTATAACTCTGGACTCTGGCTCAAAAAGGCATCCTCCCGGCCCACTGAACCACAGCGAGCCAGATTGGGCGCAGTTGAATCTCGAGAACCTCTAACCCCCAAGGTGACTATGTAATACCGTATACTGCGCCAGAAAATTGAAATGCCCAAGGCGTCCAAAATCAAGCTGGAATATATATATATATATATATTCAAAAGCACCCGAAAATCAAAGCCCCTAGGGTCTCTAGAAAAAAGGGTCTCTGATTTCCTCAGAGAGATTGCAAGGTATTTTGCTGCATGTTTCTGTAAGCTTGTCAAGTCCCCTGGGCCCTCGCAAACTTACATGTATGGCCCTCTATCCAGAACTGGAGCAGGGGGCTTTGCCGGCGCTTGTTCCTTGCAATTGAATTGGCTGAAACGTTCTGACTCACTTAAATCAAACATGTCACCCTTTCATGACTGTGTTCCCGTTCAAATATTAACATCGAACATAAAAGGAACATAGTGGTCATTAAGGCTAGATTTCAGGCCTAAGATGGACAACGCGTAGGAACACTCAAAAAGAGCCGTTGATCTACCTGTTCCATCCTGTTCCTTTAAAACACCTACTTGCAAAGGTCGTGGAGCTCTGCCCCTGAAGCTAGCAGCTATATGAGGCCATGTCGGCCCGGCTATGTATCTAATGTCCACCTCTGATTTATAAATAGGGCCCCCCCCCTTCCTCTTTCCCCTAAATAAACTTAAAGCCACCATCAAACTTGTTTGTATGTAAATGTTTTCAATTACCACAATTTAAAACGAATACATAAAATGCAACTTCAAAAAAAAAGGAATCCAACCATTGTTTTAGTATTGATCTAGTACTCATGTCGTGGATTTAGTATTGATTTAGTACTCATGTCATGGATTTAGTATTGATTTAGTACTCATGTCATGGATTCAGTATTGATTTAATATTCATGTCATGGATTTAGTATTGATTTAGTATTCATGTCATGGATTTAGTATTGATTTAGTATTCATTTCATGGATTTAGTATTGATTTAGTATTGATTTAGTATTGATTTAGTATTCATGTCATGGATTTAGTATTGATTTAGTATTCATGTCATGGATTTAGTATTGATTTAGTATTCATTTCATGGATTTAGTATTGATTTAGTATTGCTTTAGTATTGATTTAGTATTGATTTAGTATCTGGGTTTAGGGCCAAAAACATTTAGCTTTATTCAGGGTCAAACTCTAATAAGTGCCAAGGCACCTCATGGGGGGTACCCTTGACGAGTTGATTTGGGATTGATTTTGGATAATTTTGAATAAAGGTTCTGAATAGAAACGAACAACCAGTATTTTTAAAAATTTGAAGTTATCAAGGTAAGATCTAATGAGCTGGCAATATGAATTAGTACATGAAAGCCACTTCAAATAAAGCATAGACAATTTGTTTCAGCCCCATCTGGACAAATCTGGGTTTAGGGCCAAAAACATTTAGGTTTATTCAGGGTCAAACTCTAATTAGTGCCAAGGCACCTCATGGGGGGTACCCTTGACGAGTTGATTTGGGATTGATTTTGGATAATTTTGAATAAAGGTTTTGAATAGGAAAGAACAACCATTATTTTTGAAATTTTGAAGTTATCAAGGTAAGATCTAATGAGCTGGCAATATGAATTAGTACATGAAAGCCACTTCAAATAAAGCATGGACAATTTTTGTTTCAGCCCCATCTGGACAAATCTGGGTTTAGGGCCAAAAACATTTAGGTTTATTCAGGGTCAAACTCTAATTAGTGCCAAGGCACCTCATGGGGAGTACCCTTGACGAGTTGATTTGGGATTGATTTTGGATAATTTTGAATAAAGGTTTTGAATAGGAAAGAACAACCATTATTTTTGAAAATTTGAAGTTATCAAGGTAAGATCTAATGAGCTGGCAATATGAATTAGTACATGAAAGCGACTTCAAATAAAGCATGGACAATTTTTGTTTCAGCCCCATCTGGGCAAATCTGGGTTTAGGGACAAAAAAAATAGCTTTATTTAGGGGTCATTTATTATTAATTTTGGAAAATTTAGCTTTATTAAGGGGGCATTGTTAAATCGTAGGTCAACATTATATGATCCTATACGTCAATCACTTTCTCGGCACTTTCGCTATGCAATTTCGTTTCAGTGTTAGCTTCTTGATCCTTCTAAAATGAAATGTAAACTACTGTACTCATGCCCATCATGTTCCCGCTGCTTGCCCCTTAAAGAGCCCTGATGACGCATATTTTGGGCTTTCGCGGCGAACATCTTGCGTCTTTCGGATTACGTTAAATGCGATCTTTCATGGGCTTTCTCCTGGCATTCCCGGCCTAAACGGTCACTTTCACAAGGCAAAATGTGCCCCGGTTTTAGCGAAATCATGTCGTGAGGGTTTGTGACGCAGTTCAGATGGCTGAAAACGGGTTCCAAAGAAAGAGTGTCTAAGCCACGGAAACTGACATGCGCTACAATACCCAGGCCTCCGCTGCTGGGCAAATGTACCGCAGAAATCAGCAAATCGATAGGACCTCTGTTGGGAGCTTCCAGCTGATGTCCTTGGCCATTTCTTTGCGTCAAATGTATCTGGCTGGTCCTACTCCCAATATAAAGATCTGTAGCAAAACGGGCTAAGCACTGTTTGTTCTGATGAACGGTGGAGAGTTTGAAACTTGCAACGATGGGTGCCTCAATGTTGTTCCACAAGTTCACTTATTACATTTCAGAATCTGCTCTTTGTCATCATGTAACTCATACAATTTAGGGTGGGTGAATAGAGCCTACAATTTGGGGTAGGTGAATGGAGCCCCATATTGAATTTGTATATAAGCTAGTGGCTTTTGAATTCCTAACACTGTTTCAACCAACCTACTACGCATTACAGAGTGATGCAAGCAAAATTACTTCATGGCTACATACAAGTTCCATCAAATACACACCGGAACCACACACAGTGGCCCCGAACCGCGTGAATCAACAGAAACATGGAGTTTGCACACTCAACAAAAGGATGGGCTCTGCTCCTAGCTTCGAACAGGGTCGCCACCGATCTGAGACATGCCATTGACTGATAAATACATCTAGCTCCCATGTCTTGCACGTGTCAATGCGCAAAAATGATCAAAAATGTCAGGGGAACATTGTGTAGAAAGAACTTGAGAGCAAGCAAAGGCGCACGAAAGGTATACGTGTAGTGGGAGAGGAGTAGCGTCAAATGCTGCGCCCCTTTTGTTCAGCACTGGCTGAAGATGCCACAGTAGAGGCAAACTCTCCATGAGGGAGATGTCCCTGTAGTCCAGAATAATTGGTATGTTTCAGCTTCAGTAACGGTTGCTGCAAGAAGTCTTAAAAAGTTGTTTTAAATAAAGAGGGAGGGACGCCACCAGGGCCCCATTTTGACAGTGTTTTGTGACTTTTTTGATAATTTGCGTTTATTTCTACTCATAGTGTTTGTTTTTGATTTTTCTATGTTGTTTATATTGTTTTGTTTCTGTTGCATTGTTATCTGTTGTATATTTCATTTGGTTCTGGAAAGTTCATATGGAATAGCGAAGTAGGGGTGGAGATAAGGCTCATACCCTTGGTTCTACATTGTTTTCTTTTGCAAAAACACATGATAAATTATATGTGAACAGAGTGATCCCTGTTCCGGATACGTCAATATGAAGGAAGTACCTATGTGTTGTATTGTTAGCACGGCCGTGACGGCATGCAAGAGTGAGAGCGCAGCTTACTTTTCTGCTGATCATATGTCTTGAGCCACAATGGTTGTGGCAGACAGTCTTTGATGTTAAGTGCACTAGATTACACATGCACTACCGCATGGTTCCCTTTCGCACCCCCCATGTCCGCGGTTTATTTGAAATTGCGGACACGGGAGAGGGAACAGAAGAATTGATGCACATTGCAACTATCAACGCTGTATCCATTGGTTCACTGTTGGTCGTCCGACGGACGTTACCAACAGATTCCCAATGCCGTCATCTTCGTGACGAATTTGTTGATAGCTGCATTATGCTGTACAAGTGTCATGTCCGCTTCTAACTACGCTGGCGATATGATCGAATTAGATCGAATTAGTGGAGTTGGTCGTCCGGCGGACGTTATCAACCCACCGCATCTGTACATAACCTACTGCAGTTGTCAGCAGAACTACACTGTACAAATAAAAGAAAGAACGTTAATTCATTGATCGGGAACACGTGAAAGGATGTTCTAAGGCGACTGTACACTAGCCACGCTCAGAGTCCTCTCAAAAGATCAATTTTGTCTCGTCATCATCCATAGCCAGTATAGACGATGAACATCACATAGCACCAAGTTGATCACTGATTGGTCTTCTTCTTCTTTTGAGGTGCTTGTTGTGGTTTCTCACTTGGCGGAGGTCGCGATGGTTTCGGCGCTGCTTTGGCAGGCATTGCCTTCTGTGGGAATTTTGCCTTCTGTGAAGGTGCCGACGTCGGAGTAGTGTACGAAGATGATGATGATGATGATGCTGGCTCAGCAGGAACACTCTTCGGAGGTGGTGGTTTTGGCTTCATTGCCTTTGGTTCATGTCCATGTCCCGAAGCGGCTGCGCGTGATGCCTCAGTTGCGCGACGTGCTCCTTCTGTATCTCCGAGTCGCTTGAAGACATCGTCCTTCACGTTGGGCTCAAGATTTGGCGCCATTTTCTCTTGCCAAGCCAATCTTTCCACGTTGTGCTTCTTGGGATGCATATGCCAAGGACCAAGGAGTATGCGATCTTCGACACATACAGATCGGGAAGAACAACTCCGCATTGTTGAGCAGCAATAAGCAACTCCTCGGTACGTTGATTCTCGCGAAATGCAAGATATATCGAGAATGCTGGAAGATCTTGGCATTTTGGAAAGCCATGGTTTCCTGACCTGAAGTACGTGTAGTTCTCCGATTCTGGAAATGCTCCCTTCATCATTCGTGTCGTCGCTGATCACCTTCCTCATCTCCCCTTTCTCCTCGTTGTTTCCTTTCATTTTGCTCATCGGGGTGAGGAATTGGATTCTTTCCGGGGTATATCCAGCCTGCACGAGGAATTCCATCATTTTCTCGTACGTATGGAGGACCTAGATCACGTGCTCCATCATGTTCCTTGGTCTGCCGCCGTATAGCTTTTGACCTTGTGACCAAGAAGTTTCCGAAGCCTTCTGCTCGAACCATTCCGAGGCTGTTGCTGGGTTGGTTCCTTCAAGACTCCATTTTCGTCCTCACGTGTATAAGGACAAAGTCAATGTCCATCCTACCGAATTTGTTGCCAGTCATCCTTTCATGATACTCGCTTGGCTTCAGCAGAACGCGTTGGTTGTAGTAGAGCTTGTACATCAGCAGGATCTTAGAGATCACACCGCGTTGTCAAAGATCTGCGCTGCGTTTTCGGACACATCGATGTTCTGTAGACCTTTGATCGGCATCTTTTTGGTGCCAATCTCCAGGTTCATTGACCAAGCTGGAAGTGATTTGGTCTTTTCCTCGGTCTCTCGGTCTGCAGCTTCTTGTTGGGCGTCGACTTCATCGTCTTCGTCTTGTTCGTCAATGTCGATCTCAACGTCCACTTCTTCATCTTCTTCTTTCATTTCTTCATCGCCCTCGCCGTAATCAACTTCAGAAGCATCAAAGCCGAACTGGCTCTGAGTCTCGGCGTTTTCTTGTGCTTCGTGGACCGTGTCCTTGAACATAGACTCATTCGACTTGCGAATCTCTTGGTCGATCTGTCTCTTGGTGGCTTCGTCCTCGTCGTTGGCCTGGTCATCAAGTCGATATGGCCTGAGGCCATGGCTTTCAAGCTGGGTCCAACATCCCACGCAAACCCAGAACTTCATCGGCGTCTCAGTGAGGCAGTGGGGGCAATACCGGCACCCTGCCTCTGTGACGGCTTTTCGCTCCAAGATGTAGTCCACCAACTTCAATCTTGCTTCGTATTGTTCTCTAGGTTCGTCGACGATCTGCTTGTTCTCAAAACGTGCGATGATCGTCATGACTTCCATCGTATCTTCATCGTACGGTTGGTTGGAGGCGTTGACGCATTGCTGCGCGATTCGAATCACTGATTCTTTTGTCGCAACAGTTTTGGACCTCAGTGATCCGGTACGGACCACCTGCTCTTCTCCCGAAGGAACGATAAATCTTTGCCATCTGCACTTGGCGTCTTGAACCCACCCTCCACGGAACTTGGAAAACGGAATGACCTGATCCGTGACGACCTGGCCTGAGTCGGTCAAACGACCGCCATGGTCCTTCATGAGGGTCTCAGTCGGGATGTAGAGGCACACGTAGTCCCCCAAGCGGGTATCCACACTCTTCGTGATGTTCCAGGACCGTTGGTCCCAAGGAACGTATGGGTTGAAGAATGTGAAAATCCTTGCATTCCCGTCCAAGCCACCAGGGATCAATCCCTCTTTCCAAATGCTCTTCAATCGATCCCTCATGGTGATGTGAAAACATGTAGGAAGGGAAATCACTGTGTTTGGAGCGATTGGATGAGATAGTATACTTTACAGGTCAACATTCGAAGGAAAGATTTCAAGGAAATCCAAAGTCTGTCAAACTCTCTGACATGTTTTAAAACCTTTTCACGTGCATTGGGGTTTTGCATGTTGATGTACGTCCAAGGCGTACCCCCCGTGCACGGAAGGCTGATCCATATCAATGGTTTCACATCACCTTTGAAAGGGTTGACATAACTTGCAATCCTCGTTTGGTTTTCCACTTCGTTCAGATCAAATTCTTTTGTGAATTGCAGTACTTCACAACCATCGGACCATTTTCGATTGGTTTGACTAAGTTTTGATTCGGGGTGACAACACACTTCAACGATCAGTCTCTTGGTGTCAGACTTGGCAGCGGGTCCCCCCGTGCTTGGCGCAGCAGTGCTAGGAGGCAAAACAGCCTCCGTTGCGGATGCCAATGCTTTCTGAGGGGTTACGGTCTTGGTCGGGGTTATTGCAAGAAGTTTCACAGCCAGCTTCCATTTTTCGGCACTCACAAAAGGTTTTGTGAGAATGTCTGCTGCTTGGAGCATGCTTGGACCATGGACTAGCTTGCACCATCTCCTTTTGAATTGTTCCTCCAACCAAGAAAGATTGACACGCTGAGTTTTGTCTGTATGACGGAAAGTGGGTGATTTTCCATTTTCAAGAATTCTAATGGTAGCCTGATTGTCCTCTACAAACACTCCTTTGATTGACCGTGGGGAAAACATGGATATCATGCACTCTCCCTCCTTCTCACGTCCTACGAACTCATAGTCAGCGATTGCTTCACGGATTTCGACGGATTCGATGTTGTAGTCGGACTCATATAGGGACCATAGACCCTGAAGAAAGTTTTGCCCGTCCACTCCCCATTGATCGGGTATAGCCAACCTTGACTTTCCAGTTGTCCTGCATAAAGTCAACCATGCCGTCCTTTAGCATCACGGTAGTTCGAGAGCACCCGAGTCCCTTCAGGTTAATGGGTGACTTGGACATGTCAACAGGTGTGAACAAACGGCTCCTTGGTTTTGTGTGGACTCTAATCAACCATCTTCTACTTCTCATGAATT